AATTCTCAACAATTCCCATCTGAACATCATTCAAGCGCACTGGAAAAACTCCTACATGTTTTTAAGGTAAGTGGTTGCGAACTATTGATTTGGGCTGAATTTGAACAAACAAATGAAGTTAAACATTACTGCATTTAATTTGTTTGTTTAAATTCAGCTCTTATCAATTGTTTGCAGCCACTTACTTTAACAACATGTAGTAAATCCAATGAAGCATTTTTGTCCATGCAGAATTTGTCAGTGTTTAATTTACAAATCTTTTATTACATTTTAACTTTAGCTCGATTTTTAAAGTCTGACATTCAAGAACTGTTCAGAAAGGTTGTTGCTAGAAGGGATACAGCTGAAGAATTAATTATATTAGAAAATAAATGACCAATTAAACTGCATTTTATTAACATCTAATCCTAAACCCATCCCTCAAAAACTGTTATAACGTGAATTATTTTCATTACTTATTAAATTACTCCTTTAATTGTATTTTGTTTACATCTACTCCAATCTTAACCCTAAAACCAAACCTCAAAATATTATTTATATTGAGAATTATTTATATTATTTACTAAATGAACCATTAAATTGTATTTTACTAACCTTTACCCCAACTTCAACCCTAAAATCAACCCTCAAAATATTAAATATAACCAGAATTCTTTATATTAGTTATTAAATGACCCATTCAATTTTTTTTATTAACCTTTACCCCAACCTTGACCCAAAGCTCAACACTAAAAATATGAAATATAATGAGAATTATTTATTAAATTTCACTTAAATTGTATTTTATTTACATCGACCTAAATCTCAAGCCTAAACCCAACCCTCAAAATATTCATTATAATAATAATTATATATATTGTTTATAAAGTTACCAAATGAAAAGTACTTTATTAACCTTCACCCCAATCTCAACCCTTAAAATATTCAAAATAATGAGAGTTATTTATATTATATATTAAATGACCCATTAATTGTTTTTATTAACGCCAAACCCCACCTCAACCCTTAACTCAGCCCTTAAAATATTCAATATAATGAGAGTTATTTAGGTTATTTATTAAAAAATGAATGAATGAATTAAATGACCCATTAAATATATTTTATTTACGCCAACCTCAACTTCATACTCAACCCTTCAATATTAATTGCAATAAGAATTATGTATATAATTTATTATATGCATTTTATTTACATCTACCCCAACCTCAACCCAACCCTCGAAATATTCTCTCATATGAGAATTGTTTATATTATTTATTTAATGACCCATTAATTGTTTTTATTGACTCCCAACCTCAACCTCAAACGTACCCCTGATCGACACTAGAACTGTTAAACTAGATGCTTGAACTATAGTTATTAAAAATAAAGATAGATATATAATAACTAAAAGCAAACAAACTAAATAAAACTAAATAAAAACTAAACCAAAAACTGCAGCTTTAAAAACTTTATAGTACCAAATAGCACCAAAATAAAAACTAATTTAAAAGCGCATACTCTATTAACTGTGCTGTCCTGAACGTGGATTTTTCAAAGTATATAACTGCAGCTGATGTGTTAGTACAGAATACATACAGAACACAATGATATGAATGACACAGATGTATGCTTTTCTGGATCGTCTCAGGTTTCGTTTCAGTGGCCGTATTTTGGGTCTGGCTCTGATCCATCAGTATCTGCTGGATGCTTTCTTCACTCGGCCGTTCTACAAGGCTCTGCTCAGACTGTAAGTCTCAATTATACCAGAGCATTAAAATCACACTCAAACAATCTGGAGTACACACTGAAAAAACTATTCATTGAATTATTACATGTCTTTAAGGTAAGTGGTTGCAAACTATTGATAAGGGCTGAATTTAAACAAACAAAATCAATTTTAGCTATGTTCAGCTTCATTTGTTTGTGTAAACTCAGCCCAAATAAATTTTTGCAATCACTTACCTTAAAAAATAAGTAAATCCAATGACTCTGATTTATTTTCAGTGTACATTAAATTATGATCTTAACACAGGCAGCCATTGAAACTGGGGGTAATTATAAGACATTTATGCATTTTTATGACTTAAATAACATGCAATATCATCATATTGTACCTAAGGTCAGTGAAGTTTCCATATACAGTATGTTTCCATTCTTAGTATAGGGTTTAAATACTAAGCGTCATACACTTGCTGTTTACTTTGTAATTGGTCACAGATAAAGACACAGTAAACTATTCAGAGTGATGGGCTTTAATGGGCTCTCTGTGTTGTTTTGCTCCACAGAGTGACGGATTTAAGTGATCTGGAGTATCTGGATGAGGAGTTTCACCAGAGCTTACAGTGGATGAAGGACAACGATATCACTGACATTCTGGATCTCACATTCACAGTCAACGAGGAGGTCTTCGGACAGGTGCTGGAGCTTTCACTCTGTTACTAAAGATGAGTTTTCATATGACTTTAACCAGAATTTGCTATAAATGTTAATGTGCAATGATCGGGACTGAACGATTGTAAAGGCTGAGCCTTAAAGCATCCTCAATACATACAGCAAATAAAGGCCAGATCCCATTTCTGCCCTTCAGCCCTTCCCCCTTGATTCTCTTAGACTGGGACGTTAAATTGGGATGGGTCAATAACAATTGACTTTAGCATTGCTTTGCAGATGATCAAATATTAAGATTATTATTAAGTCATAAACGTACATACAGCAGCTTTAAACGTTTGACGTCTTTTACCAGGTGACGGAGAGGGAGCTGAAGTCTGGAGGCTCCAACATTCAGGTGACAGAGAAGAACAAGAAAGATTACATCGAGCGAATGGCACGATGGAGGGTGGAGCGGGGGGTCATGCAGCAAGCCGAAGCCCTTGTTAGGGGTTTCTATGAGGTACAAAAGCTGGAACAGTAGACGATCCACACACAGGAAGCAATTACAGTGCCCAGCATACATGAACTCATCTTCATTTGAGATTATTGTCTTTATCCATTTCTTAGTGAATATAGACTTCTCAGTGAATGTGTTTTGGTGTATTTAAACAAAAACAGTAGATCTGTGAATCTATATTGGTCTCATGGTTCGGTTCGGTTACGATTATCATTCATTCATTTTCTTGTCGGCTTAGTCCCTTTATTAATCGCCACAGCGGAATGAACCGCCAACTCATCCAGCACATTTTTACGCAGTGGATGCCCTTCCAGCCAGGGCCGACGTGTCCATAGAGGCGACCTAGGCGGCTGCCTAGGGCGGCAGTATAGAGGGGGCGGCGTCCGCGACACCTCCCTCACCACCTGCGTCCTCAATTATATTCGCGCATAGGCAACAGAATAGAGGTCCGCGACACTTCACTTCATTTTTATAACCAGTCACTTTCGTTTTCACATTGGGGTTAAGGGCGGCGTGATCGTCCTCTGCCTAGAGCGGCAGTTCAGCTTGCTCCGGCCCTGCTTACAGCCACAACCCAAATCTGGGAAACATCCACACACACATTCACTCATACACCTACGGACAATTTAGCCTACCCAATTCACCTGTACCACATGTCTTTGGACTGTGGGGGAAACCGGAGCAGCCGTAGGAAACCCACGCGAACCCAGGGAGAACATGCAAACTCCACACAGAAACGCCAACTGAGCCGAGGCTCGAACCAGCAACCCAGCGACCCTTCTTGCTGAGGCGACAGCACTACCTACTGCGCCACTGCGACGCCTAGTTGCAATTATCATGCCATCAGTTCGGTTCAATTGGAAATCTCGGTGCATTGACGATGCTTAACATTCACATTTTTGTATTTTCTTCACAGCGCAAGAATTCTTGTATTAAAACGTATAAATATATTTATATTAATATACAATTTGTAATACATCTTTGTCCTTTAATGCAGATTCAGATATATAAACTCTACCTTTAAACAACACGAGGATTTACAGCAAATAAACTAGTATAAATATCCCACTCGCTTTCTGAAGACTGGTTTAAACTCGACGCGTCCGCTAGTTCGCTTGAGAGCGCGCGGCGAATGTGAGATCTTTGCGGAGGTTCGCTTTGGGTGCACGCGACATGATTTCGGCCGGCAGAGTGGATGATTTCTTTGAGACTCGAGCGCAGTGCACACGGCGAACTAGCGGATGGGTCGAGTATAAACAGGCTTTACATGCTGACGCGCTTCACTCTGAACAGCAGCGCCGTTTACAGCTGATCCATGATAGACACGGTGGAGAAAACTCTGCAGATACTCGTGTCTGTATCCAGAAGTATCGCTGTAAATCCCAGCAAACACACATGCATGAAACCGTGCACAGTTTCTGCGTTTGTAAGTAGCTGGAGCGTTGTAAGTACTCGCGTTCGCCTCCCTTACTATAGTACGCTACAGTAACGTAGCGCATATGATATAAACAGCAGTAAGTAACATAATAACCGGTTATGATTATTACTGAACCGATACCGAATTGTCCACGTCTGCATCGCAGTGCACCGAAGAAACTATTAATTTTGACACCCCTTAAAAGCAGATTTATTAAACAGTTAAGAGGCCAGCAGGGGGCGCTAAACCTGCAGTCTGTGTGAGCCCTAACGCCCCAGTATAGTGAAGGGGACACTACACTGCTCAGTGAGCGCCGTCTTTCGGCTGAGACGTTAAACTGAGCTCCTGCCTCTCTGTGCTCATTAATCCCATGGCACTTCTGGGAATGAGTAGTAACGCCGGTGTCCTGGCTAAACCCCCTCTATCGGTTCTTACCGATCATGGCGTCCCAATCATCTCGATCATGGCCTTCCTCCCCCTCAGCTCATCTATGCTCAGTGTATTCAGATGTGTGTTTGTAATGCAGGTGGTGGACTCGCGTCTGGTGTCAGTGTTTGACGCTCGTGAGCTGGAGTTGGTCATTGCAGGAACGGCTGAGATTGATTTGAGCGACTGGAGATCCAACACAGAATATAGAGGAGGTAAGCGAAATCTATGCGTCTATAAAAGTTCTGTCAAACTAATATCATCAGTTCCCGCTGTAAAATTGTTCAACATAAGGATCTATTATGCAAGAATGACCTTTATAAGGGGTTTGAACCCAGGTGTGTGTCAGCAGTGTGTGAATATCTCCAGCCTCTAATGATGAAGATGAATTAATTTGTGTTTGTTCTAATCAGACTTGATAAAGACAGAAGCACTTTGATTGACATTCGCCCTTTGTATGATGTCATCAGAGATGAAAGCCCCGCCCACTAGTGACCATCTCTCTCTCATTAGCATAAACAGCAGCTCTGAGTGAGAAGCAGCCGTCTGTGCACTAGTGTCCATCTCTCCCTCATTAGATCAAGTTTTTCTTTCTCCCAAATGAATCTAGATTTTCCTTTTGACATAAGATTATTTTTCTGACCCCATTTGGCCTGTTTTAAGGAAAAACTCACTTAATTTTGGCTTAAAACTAGACAGTATGAGTTTTTAGACTGTAAATCTGACACTTTTCTCTCTTCTGGCTGCCGTTATCAGTCTCACACTATTGTTTTCCTCTTTCTGAAAGTCTTGCTAACACCATCCTGGAGTTTTTCTGTCATTATTTCAGCAAATAGGATTGTAAATAAATGATTTGCTGTGCACTCCTACTACTGCGCTCTGCACTATGACCACTTCTGCTGCTGAGAAACACACGTGAAAAGACTCTCTCGTTGTCTTCATTGTATTAAAACAGGAGTATCAATGTCCATGTAAACATCTCCTGCAGGTTATCATGATGGCCACATGGTGATGCGCTGGTTCTGGGCGGCAGTGGAGCGCTTCAATAATGAGCAGCGGCTGCGTCTGCTGCAGTTTGTGACGGGGACCTCCAGTGTTCCCTATGAGGGATTCGCAGCGCTGCGCGGGAGCAACGGCCTGAGGCGATTCTGCATTGAGAAGTGGGGAAAAGTCACTTCTCTGCCCAGGTATAATGCAGATATTACACAGACACAAATGATCACACAGATCAGATATTGACGGAAATGTTTTTGAAGAATTTAATAAGCATTCTTGATGTTATAAATATCGTAAACACACTTTACACAATACTGAGAATGGACAATGAAGATCTGCAGTGTAAATTCAGCCACAGTGCGATCCTGAAAGCCAAACATTAGTGTCACCCTGGCTTGATCTGCATCCAGCGCTTCACCTTGACATTCATTTTCTCTGTTGGTCTGGCAAAGCGAAGGGCCTGCGGGTTAAAGCCTGGCGCCGTCAGCACTAAAGCACAGGCTCATATTTCCCTGTCAAGGTGAGAACGCAGGCGAGTTGGCCATTGTGTGTGCAGACAGAAATAAATAAAGCCAATGTGAAGGAAAGGATACAGATGCCTCACTGCGGTACAGAATTTCACATGCCATGTCTGGAGGAAATGCAGACGTTTGTTCAGAGAAATTGGAAATATGTGCTTCAGTCTACATTGTGAAACTAAAAAAACATTTGACTGCATTTTGCAGCTGAAATGAACACTAGGGGGCAGTGTGACGACAAAAGTTTTTGTTCCTTTTCACGCTAATGATATTTACAGGCACACATTATTAAAGAATAAAGGATTATTTTGGTGCAGTTCTCTGCACAGCATCAAATAAACACCACAAAGCAACTTAACACTATCTACGTATAGCAATGAATAAGTTTTGTGTCTCCATATTGACACTTTTCTAGTGTTGGCAGTTTGCTTGTAGCTCACTTTTTACAGTGTTGTGCTGCAAAGCGCTCTGGTTCGATTCTAGTGAAACACGCTTCCACACAAGAGGTAAAAGCACTGTAAATCAAGGTAAAGCTATGCAGTTGCACTGCTCATTTCACTTACGTTTGCTTTTAGAAACACTATATGTTGGGTTTAGGAAAGCACCGCCTTCTAGTGGACAGATTTCAGGTTCGCGAAAATTAACACAACGCCCTTTAGTGAGTTTGTCATCTGAATCGTACAATAGAATGTACTGAGTAACGTCTTCTCAGGTTCATAAAATATAAACAGCACCCTCTAGTGGATATCTCATCTGAAACGTAGAACAAAATGTATTATAAATAACATATATCACATTCATAAAAATGTAGACGGTGTTCGCTAGTGGATTTATCATCCAAAGCGTGCAAAAATATGTACTATAAATAACATAAGTAATGTCTATCAAATTCATAAAAGTGTAGACAGTGCCCTCTAGTGGATTTCTCACCTAAAATGTACAACAAAATGTACTATAAGTAACGTATATCAGGTTCATGAGTATAGACAGCGCCCTCTAGTGGATTTGTCATCCAAAACGTACAGTAAAATGTACTATGAATAACATATATCACATTTATAAAAATGTTGATAAACAGTGCCCTCTAGTGGATTTATAATCTAAAACATACAAAAATCTTCCATAAGTAATGTCTATCAGATTTATTAAAACGAAGGCCGCAGCCGCTAGTGGATTTCTCACCCAAAACGTACAACAAACTGTACGATGAGTAACGTATGTCAGATTCCTAAAAATCTAGACAGTGCCCTCTAGTGAATTTGTTATCTGATATTTATAACAAAATGAACTATAAATAACATATATCAGAGCTATATAATTGTACATAGCACCCTCTAGTGGATTTCTCACCTAAAATGTACAACAAAATGCACTATAAGTAATGTATATCGGGTTCATAAAATATAGACAGCACCATAAATAACATATATATATATATATATAACGTGCTCTCTGATGGATTTATCATCCCAAATGTACTGCATAGTGTACTATAAGTAATGTATATCAGATTCATAAAATATAGACAGCGCCCTCTAGTGGATTTGTCATCTGAAACGTTCAATGAAACGCAAATGTTCCCTAAGTAACATATTTCAGATTTACAAACATGTAAACAGCGCCCTCTAGTGGATTTATCATCTGAAATGTGCAATGAAACATATCTAAAACAAAATACTTTATGTTTTGCAAACATGTAGGCCAAGGCACGTATTTCCAACGAGTCTGGGCTGCAGAAATGTACTGTTTTAGTCTACAAACTCCATCTTGACCTTCGACCTCTGTGTTTTTGGCTCCTGTAGGGCGCACACATGCTTCAACCGTCTGGATCTGCCTCCATATCCCTCATACACTATGCTGTATGAGAAACTCCTGACCGCTGTGGAGGAGACCAGCACCTTTGGTCTGGAGTGACGCATTTCTTTTATATTACTGCAAATGCATTTTCAATAACTCATTCCACAAGAGACTTTTTAATGATTTTTAAACTAGGATTTTGTTTAAAATGACTTGAAATAGCATGTTTCTGCACTAAAACACAATATATATGATACTTTTTTCATATGTGCGAGATTATGGGGACAGAAGCAAACACGTATGCAATAGTAAAAACCAAACTCCAGCCTATTGTATTCAAATGATGGAGTAGCATCCTGCTTTCCATAGACTTGTCAGATTTTTCCAGCAGTTTTGGTGCTTATTACCATTCATTTTCCTTATAGGGATTGAAATAAAAAAAGAGTTTGATAAATCATGTAAGTTAAAGAGCTATAAAGAGAAACACAACATTAAAAACTTGATTTTAAAGCACAGAAGTGTATAAAAATAAGTCAGAAAGACAAAGATACAACACCTTTAAAAGGGAAAAAACTTTCCTGTCAATAATAGTCCAATTTAAAGGAGGGAGAAATATGAAACTAATTATTTAAAGTTGTTGACTGCATCAGTACAAGTAATATATTTCAGGTTTATTGAGAAATATGCATATATTTATGAATATACAAGTTCCTTTGCAGAGTTTTGTGTGAGTGGGTGGAGCTTAAGATCTCTTTTGGCGAGATTTGCTTGCTGCAACTCTCTGATTGGTGGAATTTTCTGCACAGGATCATGGGTAATGTAGTTTTTCTGCACTAATCCGGCTATTATATATGTTTACAAGTATAAAAAATGAGTTCAACAAAATCCTCTCACCACATGTACATCACTGTATTTAAATGTTTATTCTTATGCCGAGTTCAGACTGCATGATTTTAGCGCTGATTTGGACTCGCACACAGGTTTTGAGAAATTGCAGACAAATGCCTGAAATCACAGGCAAATCAGTGCTCGTTCACCTGAGGAACAATCACACAGTGTGAACTATCCGAGACACGATCTGAGAGAATCACCAATGAGTCGCCGACACTCGTCAGATATTTGGCGTGTGAAATGTGTTGTGAAAATAGCATCAGTGATCACCTACAGCCAATGAGAGAGCAGCGTCCACTAGTGTGGGTCTCTGCAGGCCAGCGGGAGGAGGATGGAGGAGAAGGTAAAAGGGTTTCTTTTCAGTCTATATGAACTCAAGAAATGGAGGGAATCTAGTGTAAATGTGGCAGGAGCACCCGTGACTGTTTGGCGTGTCATCTGAGCAACATCACAACCGGCTCCAAAAAGAAAAAGGCGGAGGAGAAATGATTCCCTTCGAAAGCCAGGTGAGCAAAATAAGCACTACTCCACTAAAGACTTCCTTCTCATTATGTAGTTAATAACTTAAGATGTACGACGTGACCTCGCGCTGTTTCCAGGTCACTTCTCGTGTGTGTTTGGTTGTGAGACGTAGTTCGTGGACTGAAGTTGTCTGCGTTTCTCCTATTGTCAAGTCATGCAGTGTGAAACCGCCTGTCGCCGTTCCATCTTGCAGTGTAAACAAAGCAGAGACAAAACGCTAGCAAAGATAGTCATGCAGTGTGAACACATCTGTGACGCCACTACTTTGAAAATCCTGCAGTCTGATCTCGGCATTATTCCCTATGGAGAAAATGAATGGAGTTTTTACCTCCGAGACCCAAATGCTGCTCTCTAAAGTTTAGGGATCGGTACATTTCTGATTGGGTATTTCTCTAAAATGTTGTGTTATTTTAAGTGTGGCTATGTTCAGAACTAAATACTAACATATTGCTGACTGAATATGCGACATGTATAATATACGCTAGAGGTGTAACCCTATACTGGTCTCACTGTTCGGATACGATTATCTTGCCATCGATTCGGTTCAATTCGATATCTCAGTGCATTGACGATGCTCTCCATACACAGTGTTATATTTTAGGGGGGAGGCTATAACAAGCTGTCTGTATAAACACACAGACACACAGCACCACACTGTCTCTCATTCACACACATACACAAACATAGACAGCACCAAACACACACACACACATACACACACACACACACACAAAAAACGAAAAAAAGAAGCACTTTTCTGACAGTCCCTTACTGAAAGCTCTGCTCCGCGCGAGCTCTCCTGGCTAAACGCATATTGCGAGGGCTTAAACGGAGCAGTGCTCTTAATGTCGAGCGAAAAAAAAAGAAAGACAGCTGCGAAACATAACCAGCTTCTTCTTTTTGTAGGAAACACACTTTAGATCTTTCTAGGGTAAGAGGTTTTTGAGTTATTGCCGTCTATAACTGAATGTGTGTCAGGAATATCGAAAACAAAACCAACTGAACCGCGCTCATTTCTGGCGCCCCCTTGGATGTACAGCGCCCTTAGCATTCGCCTATACTGCCTATGCCACGGGCCGGCCCTGAGTTGGCTCCTGAGTGTTGTAAATACCGGCGCTCACCTCCGTCGCGACAGAGCACATAGGAGCTCAATGACGTCAGGACATAATAACTGGTTATGATTATTACTAAACCGATACCGAATTATTTACGCCTGTATTGCGGTGCACCGAAAAAACTGTTAATTTTGGCACCCCTAAAATACGCAATAACGTGATTTGCATGGTTGTTACATGACTATTATCATCATTATTATCAAGAGCAACACATTTGATCTACAAATCTACAAAACTTCACTCCTTCTTCCTTAATAGCTGCTTTTGCGACAGACGCTGGAGGCCATGGTCTTTAGCCTCCTTGTTAGAGCAACTGACTCCCATACACATAATCACCAGTTCGATGCCAGCTCAGACCGGGTTGACTGGTGGGTTACACGTAGGGGCTCGTCCGGGATGGGAGTGGGGTTTAGGGGTGGGTGAATGTAAAGGAGGCCAGCTAGTGAAGTGCTATGCAGGTAAACCTCACTCCTCTAACCTTTAAATTTGCTCTATTGACAGACGCTGGAGGCCATGGTCTTTAGCCTCCTTGTTAGAGCAACCGACTCCCATACAAAGAATCGCTGGTTCGATCCCAGCTCAGACTGGTGTGTTACATGTGGGGGCTCGTCCGGGATGGGAGTGGGGCTTGAATGTAACGGAGGCCAGCTAGCAAAGTGCTATGCAGGTAAACCTCACTCCTCCTTTCTCCAAAGGTGCTCTAGCAACAGACGCTAGAGGCTGCAGCCTTTAGCCTCCTTGTTAGACCAGCTAGCAAAGTGCTATGCGGAGAAACCTCACTTCTCTGACCTCTAAAGGTGCTCTAGTGACAGACGCTGGAGGCCATGATTTTTAGCCTCATTGTTAGAGCAACTGGCTCCCATACACAGAATTGATGGTTCAATACCAGCTCAGAGCGGGTTGGGTGCAGTAGGGGCAGTGGGTTACATTTATGAATTAATATCAAACCAAAATAGGGATATTATAGTGCATAAAAATTGTGTACTACTGGGGGTTTTTAGGGGGTAAGTGGCAGTAAATTAATTTAAAAAGTAATTATTTACTAATTAAGTCATTAAAATTGTATTAAAGAAATCATAAGTGAGTTTAACATTAAACAACCCAAATAATCTGCTGGTGTGTTATGTAAAGTAATATTTTTAATTAAATTAATTAAAAACAAAATTCTTTTTGTCACCTTACTAGCAGATTATTTGGCTTGTTTTAAGTAAAAATAATAATATTATTAATTTTGACCTATTATTTCTGAGAACAGGACATTATTTTTATTTTGTTTAGCTTCTGGATTTCAGAACATTAAAATTCAACTTTATTCTCTAATTTATTTCAACTAAAAACAAGACAGAACCTCTCTGTAATAAAGGCATTTTGTGCCGTGTCAGAGCAAAATAATTTAGGAAGCACTGCTCTAGATATAGATATATTGTGCACTAAAAAGGGTAAAGCATCATCTGTGTATTGTATGCATACAGATACATGAATGATACTGAATAAACAGTGCTAGTATGCTGTTCTGATCATAGCCACATAAGAAACACATGGAGACTCACTGGACTGTGATGTAAGAGACTTTATTGTGCAACCAAATTAGTGACAGTAACCCTAAGCTCATCAGATCGTGTGGCCACATTAAAAATAACTCTCTAACTCTTAAAACAATGCTTCTTAAAGGCGACGCGCTATATATAATATTGACACTGACAATGGCATGACATTCCCAGAGTACTTCTATTGAAGTTATCTTGCTGGTGTCGCCACAGATGATATATTTATTAAAACCCCAATTCACCTTGTATATTTCAAAGATAATAAGCATCCTAATGATTTATTTGCATTATTTATTGACACATCTTCTTGGCGAGCATGATTTGGTTTGTCCCTCATAACTGTGAACAGTCTCATTTATAAAATTAATTACAGAAAGCCAGATGACCAGCTTTTCGTTGTTATTATTATTATATGATCTTACTAAAATGGTGCTTTTATGTCTTTATAACCATTTTTTGTTGGACAAACACTTAAAATCCAAACTCTTTGACAATTCCAGCCATCAAAAGAGAAATAATGAATGGGTTTAAATGCATGATGGTGTGTTTCACTGTGGTACGTTGCATTTATTATCATATTTATATGTATATGATCATTTATTAACACTATTGCTGATGGCTAAAGTCTGGTAACATTAAATCTGAACGCATCAAACCTGTTTATTTGTCATTGACAGAAACTGTGAAATGACTATCTGACCGTTCGCTGTTGCAAAATGTTCAGTTGTTGTTATAATGATGTATTTTTATTATTTCTATTTGTTTTGTATTTTATATTGCTTTTATATATGAGTTCAAGATGACGCAGTCTCCAAACTGCACATGAAAACCTTTAATTGCTATGAACAATGATGCGTTTGTCAATGAAAATATGTAAATAGAAATATTTATGAGCACTTATTACTGTATATCAGCCTAATTTACTGATCCTTCTGTTCTACATGAACAGATTTTGCGTTTGGCCCAAATCATTGTACATAAATGTCAATAAACATCCACGTTGTTGTAGGCTTATTGTGATTTATTCAGTTTTTAAATTAGTAAGAATGTCATTCATAACACATAACACAAGTTCAAGTTCATCTTTATACAATCCAAACACTAGAGGGCCACAAAACACTCTTGAATGGGATAAATGGGATATATATATATTTATATATATATATATATATATATATATATATATATATATATATATATATATATTAATTTATTTATTTAAAACAAATTGTAGCAAATGTTTTATAATAGAATTAAAATTAAAGATTAAATTGTCATTTATAATCTTTATGCTTTGCCACTAGGTTTGTCTTAGTGATAACATAGTCACCGATAACATTTAATCAATTAAAATGATATCAAATTTATGATATGTTGTTTGTTTATATCGGTACGGCTCAGAAAAAGCATATTATTTTGTTTCCCTCATACTTTACAGCTATGAAAATTCTCAATTTCTCTGAATTTGAGTAAAATGTTAATATTTGTTTTATTTTATATGGGACATTCTACCAGAAATGTACATATTCACATATAAAAAAATGTGACAGGGCCTGACCTAAGCTTGCCGTCCTCGAAAAATCATATGAAACCAGCGTAAAATCATACAATTCAATGATAGAGCGCATGCTTGATCACTGCCAGCTTCTCCTCCATCAAAGATGTCACTTTGACGAGCATGACTTGGTTGGTCCTTCATAACTGGCAACAGTCCTATTAATAAAATTAATTACAGCCAACAGAAGCCAGATGACCAGCTTTTTGTTATTATTGTTATATGAAGTTATTAAAATTCAAAAATTCAACGCTTTTACATATACAGTAAGAATCAGATATGTGATTTCTTTCAGGATTTGCAAATATATATATATATAGTAGTAAATATTTTATAATAGAATAAAAATTAAAGATTAAACTGTCATTGAAAATCTTTATGCTTTGCCACTAGGTTTGTCTTAGTGATAACATAGTCAGCGATAACATTTTATCAATTAAAATGATATAAAATTTATAATGATATGTTGTTTGTTTATATCGTTACGGCTCCGACAAAAACATTTTATTAGTTTTTTTTTCCCTAAATAACAGTTTTTAGCATAGCAGAACTATTAATCTGTTGCTTCTTTTACAGAACAACTCACAGAAACCAACCATCAGAACATTTTTGGGATGAGATTCACTGTATTCACTGTATTTATGTTCTTATTTCAGGGACAGATCATGTACGTTTCTGATAGAATGTCCCTTAAAAGCCTGATAAGAATGCTGCAATAAAAATGCAGTACAATACTAATAAATGCTGACAAACAAATGCTGCAATACAAATAAACATGCTGCAAATTAAAATATTTATAATATATATTTATAATATATTTATATTTGAAATTCGGAAGAGGAATCTCAAATAAAATATAATTTGCAGCATTTTATGTGTATTATTATGAGCAATTGTCCAAAAAATATAGATTTTTTAAAACTCTTCTGACGTTGATAAAATATATCACTTCTTTGCTATTTTATGCACAAAAATGTTCTAAACTTCACTAAAGTCCCTTTTTTCTATAGTCTTATAGGCTTCACTAAGTGTTCTGACTACATTCTACTTTAAAATTGAAAAAAAGCTGTCAATAATTTAAAAATATAGATGCACAATATAAACGCAGACTATAAAGAAATAAATAAAGTTTGGAGTGTAAACTTGTTGCTAGATCAGATACGGTTGTGGCTGGAAGTTAACAAGAATTATTTATTAAATTTCCCATTAATTGTATTTTGTTAACGTCTACCCCTAAACCCAACCCTCACAGTAATACCGAGTATGGTTTATGTTATTTATTAAATAACCCAATGAATGTTATTTTTTTACATTTACCCCTACCCGAACCCTAAACCCAACCATCACAGTACTGTAAAAATATTAAGTATTGCAGGCCCGTAGCTAGGGGGGTTCGGGTTGTTCGAAAGACCCACCCTTCACTGGCAAAGGTCTCATACATGAGCTCATTTGTCCTATTTTGACTGCTATGCCAAAATAAATTGTAAAAAGGCCTATGAAAACAACCCATTGAAGAAGGCTTTTGCTCTTGCTTCGGTGTGACTTCAGGTTCTGAAAGCCACAAATTCTGGCTAAGGAAAGTTGAATGCGCTGACCTAGTTTGTTATTTGGCTAATAAATGAGTTTTTAATTTAAAACTTTAACAGATTCCTATTAATTTCTAATGATATATGATGTAATACTTTTGTATATAAAAAATAAGTATTGTTTTCACATTTATTTATTCTTAATTTTTAGGAAATGTTTCATCAAAACGTCTGGTTATGATGGCCATCTGACACTCAAGCTATTCCAGCAAAAAATGCAGTATTTAAAACTCATAATTAAATATAATATGAGGCGAATATCTGCAAAAAGGTCCACTTTTTGAGAAAAAAGAACCACCCCCGTTCACCAGCCTGGCTATGGGCCTGTATTGTTATACAGTGTCAAAAGAAATGATGCTATATTGATGTGCGTTTCTGCAGCTGTATCCTTTATAGAGACTTTACCTGTAATGTAAACTTTTCAAAATATACTGTACCTAACTGAAGCCATATTTAAATAATTCATTAATTGGTTTCCTGCTATTGGTCAGATTTCATTCTAGGACAACCTCCCTACCGCCTATCAGCTCGTGCTGAATTGTGATTGGTGAACAGGCCTGTCACTTAGACGCGTTGCTCCGGCAACCGCTACTCGAGGATCAGCTTGGTTCAGTTACTCAGTTTGAAGCAGCACACCAGCAGAGGAGGAGAGCCGCTCATCAGCGTCACAACAAAACCCACCGTTTAACCGAAGATGACAACATCAACACTTCGTTTTAAACACGCCCCCGTTCTGTTAATGCTAGGATAAACGTCAGTTAGGGAAAAAGGGTTTAATTTGGGCTAGGAAGAGTGATAGTTTCCGTGTAAAGTCACCTGTTGAGTGGGTTCGCGGGCTGAAAACCATCTTGGACACAAAAATACTTTTACAGCAGTCGTTATGATTCCTGAATGTCCACGAACGACCGACTCCAGAAGCCGAATTCGGTGTGAATCCGGTCACAACCGCTCCGGTTTGCTTCGCGAGATCCGAACCGCCATCCGGAGCGAGCCGTTCACCGAGCGCTATGACGTCATCCCCGGTAAAGAGCTGGGCAGGTAAGAGACTCTTTCACCACACCTGTGCTGCTGTCAGTTGTTTTACAAGTTTTTATTTATTTCATGTAACGTTATCTGATGCTCGTGCTTGTATAGTTCCCAGTTTAACGGTGTGAGCTGAAGAGTGCTTGTTTTGAAATTGAGGTGAAGTTGGTTTTATATTCGCACTTTCGTTCATTTTTAAACAGTGACAGCTTGTGACGCTCTCTATATTGTTTATCATGCTACTTTGAGATATTGGGTATGAAAGAATTACTTTAAAACAACATTAACTCTATTTAATTGGCTGTACACAATGTGCTTTGATAGCCCAACAACAAAAATCACTTAAATGATGTGGATAAAATATAAATAAATATTTATATCTGATAGTCATTGGCTGCTAAAATGATTTCCCTTGTTAAAAATAGCAAACAATACATTTTTGAAATTTAATTACTAAGGAGAAATTCTGAATGTGCGAATATGAAACCAATATTACTCCAATTATGTAGAAGCCAGGCTGTTATGTTTACTAACTGATATTTAATGAGAAGTGTAGTAAAGGTAAAGCCACGAATGAAGGATCAGTAATTGTTTTGGGATGCTGTGTGTGAAATTGTTACATTCATGTGCATTTAAATGTTGAAATTGTGCTTCAATTTATGCGTGCATTTAATGTTTACATTGAATTTTGTGCATTCAACATAGTTTAAAATACTGCAGTGCATGACTTGTAATATATCTATACATCATTATAATCTGATGGGTCATTGGTTTGCTGTTTAACCCTTGTGCTTCAGTTACACAGTCCGCTAATATTGAAAATATGAGTGGGAAAATCCAATGAGAATGAAAATATTAGTTAAAAAACATCCGAAAAACTATATATTAATATTTCATTACATTTTAATTGACATAGATGTCTTTGTCGTGGTTAGTGTGTATTTCTGATGATAGCTATAAAAATGCATTCATTTTAAAGATTGGATTAACACCCCAAATGACAGTTGTTTACATAATTGCACCATTTTGTGTTTGTTTTTAATGGAAAAACAAACTATAAAATATATTACTTTTCACATACTAAAGGCTAAGTACACATACTTTTTGATTATTAACATTAATTTTGATTCATTATTAATTTAAGTTCTGATAATAAATATGTTATTTATTATTTTATTTTTATAATATAATGTATTTTATTAATATATTTTAATAATAAAAAAAGTTATTATTTAGAAGTTGTACCAACAAGTGGAAGCCTGGCTGTTAAAAACAATGCATTTCCATGTCCTGAACTTTCAAAATGTTCACAAAACTTACAAAGACAGAAAGTCCACAAGGATGCACAAGGGTCAAACCGCTTTGAGATATGCTGATCTGCTTCTGTGCTTCTCTGCGAGAGACGTTTAATGAAACACCCCATAAACCTCTGCATGCAGTGCATTAATGTACTCGAGCTGGATCACACGATGGGGAAACTGAGGCATTTGATGGCACACGGAGTAGATGCCAGGACTCAGTGGTTTTTAAATCAGCCATACGGGGCACAATATTGTTGCCGGGTGTTTCTTTGCCAAGTCTCTGTAGGAGTTCAGCAGCTCTATGAAAACACTGCTCTGATTTCACTACTCTTGGATATGCAATGCAAGCACAAAAAGACTTGTGCATGGGGCTGTGTGATGTGGCAGTATACTGTACAGTTGAAATAATTATCCCTCCTGTAAAAATGTGAGTATTTGGAAAGCCTTTCCTAATTGTTGCTTAAAGGAGAGATTTTTAAACATAACATTTCTGATTACCTTTTTTTTTTTTTTTTTTTACTTTGTCATGATGACAGAAGTGTGAAACAGTCATAAAAATAAGTAGAAGGCAGCAAGCACGTCAAGTGGTTCGACCAGCCTAAGTTATACATGGTTCATTGGCCTAATTTTATTATCGGACTACTAAAGGCTAATTTATACTTTCTCCTGGCACCACGTAGCGGACCTCCGCAGAGTGCGCGTACACCTTGCGTAACGACCGTAAAATCAGATGAATAAACATAGAAGTAGGAAATTTCCAGAACTTCGTCATATCATTAATATCATCATTAAGATTTTTTTTTTAACTAATTATTTTTATTTATTATTTTAATGATTATAAAGATTTTTATTACCATTCAAAATTTTTTTATAAATTTGCACCACTTGCTTTTGTTAATATATCGGACAGTTCTACCTATTAAAGTTCATAAAAATATAAATGACAACAGAACATGGGTTAGTCTACAAATATATTTTTTATTATGGCAAGAATAAAAGCAAAAATGTTCACTTAATAATAAAAAATACTGATTTATTATTTTATTTTTTTTTTATTTTTTAAGATTTAGCCAGTTCCACAATTCACACATTACTGTCTGGCTAGATTGCATCCTCTAATTACATGCTAAAAAGGCAATAATGATCCAACATTCCTGACCATGATGATCACCAATAAAGCCTAGAAAAACAGCGCATCGCTATATTGTAAACCAATAGCTTCAAATATTCTTTTCTAGTTATAAAGACATAATTTGTTAATTAATTTTTGTTTCGTAGCTATCAAATTGTTTTGAATTCAAAATTGTAATTTATTCATCAGTGTAAAACCTACGAATGGTGGAAAAGCATGTTCTGTAAATGTGTATTAAAACCACATGGGTCTCCACTTTTGCCACGGTCTCTCTTTTTGGTTTTAACAAACTTATCCTTCAAGTTTTTTCTAAACTTTTTTTACTTTTTACATAAATTTGCAATTTCTAGCCAAGAATTATTGGTCCTCTGGTTATCCCTATGATCATGCATGGACGGATTATAAAGATGTCTGTACAGACGTACCACAATCTCTTTAAAGGGATATATATTAAACTCAAATGAAAAGTGCCGAACTGTTCGCTCCACCAGCCGAAAGCGTGTTGCGTGCACCCAACCTCCGTAAACACGGCGATGACATCACATTCGCCACGCACACTCCAACTAACTACTTGAGTATAATAATTCAGCCTTAACAGTGATGATGGTTGGATGTTTGAATTTACGTTGTTGCAATCAAGCTTTTTACATTGCTCAATAGGCATGCACTGAGATCAAATATACCCATTCCAGTAACTCTTTAGATTTAGATGCTTACAACCTTTAAATCAGCTGATAAATATATTTTTAAAAAAATGTTAAATCATACATGTTTGCAAAAACAAAATCAACAAGTATGTGAAGTGATTCAAAACCAGTGGAAAAATACATAATATATTGGCCTGGACTGATAACAGTAACAGAAAAATAGCATTATTTGACTAAAATATGGCTGCCAACATACTCTGCATTTCTATTTCTCTCACATTGTCGAACTGAAATACTAGTGAGCATGATATTAGTGTTCCATCTGATCCCTGTGTTTGCCAAACACATCAGGATTAATGGACAGAGGTTTGAAAGTGCAACTGTCTGGAGGTCTGCCACCTTAATCCAGCGTTTCATCTGAGCACTGTAAAGCAAGAGAACGAACAAATCTGAGTCCAGGTCAAACATGTTTAACCAATCTCTACATCTGTTTCCCTGAGGTAAACTGGAATATCTCAGGATTTCAGGGACGCTACTGGCTGTTTTTATTTTGGTGAGCAGTTTTCATAGTCATCGGTGTGCAGTTTGCAAAGGGTTTTTCATTTGGAGAAATGCATTAGTCTTAATACTGGTATTTATAGTCTAGTTTAGTCTAAATGTATGTGATCTTGCACACAGACAGCTGGCTGTACCTGATTTCTCCCAAGACTATTAGAGGCAGTTTTGCTGACAGTTTTGTTTAGACCAGATGTTTGCTCGCTTGGAGGATTTGGATGTTGTCCTTTGTTCAGCACATGCACTAAAGACGTTATAATTCACACCTGAACAATGCTGAAATGGTGTGATCTTATTTAGGAAGATGTTAAAATGTCAAAGATGAAAAGAGGTTGAAAATGGGACATCGCTTCTTTGACCCAAGTATTAATTTGTTTCTGAAGCACAGCACATACTGTACCGTAGATGAATTTATTGCATTGATGGGATGCAGTGTAGTTCACAGATTGGCTGAAGTTGTCTGATTTCAGGCTGAGATGAGAGGTTTAAACTGATTGGCACACTACAAAATTATTAACATACTGTAAGTTAAACATGCTATTAAACACTATGTGTATCATTAATAAAACTAATATACAGTAACATTCATTAGAGAAATGAATGAATTAGATTTGAATTAAAGATGAATCTACATTTTTAAAGGCTGAATATTATGCATAATTATTTTTAATTTTGTGCTCATGAATTATTAGAACATATTATTACATAAAGGAGTAAACACATTTATATGCATGTTTTTTTTAGCCCAGAATTAGAAATTTGGTCCATCCTTCAGTATTATACAACCAAGATAATTGTGCTCAATGTTTTATTCATATTTTATTATAATTTATTTACATTTAATTAGACACAATTTCAATAGACGCCACTGTTTGATTTGCATTAAATTGTAAAACACAGAATCCAGAAACAAAGCACAGAACTAAAATACAAGCACATCATTTAGGGAAACATAAGATTAAATCTTTGTGGCAGTAAATTGAAGGGTACACTGTAAACAAACTTTCCGCAAAATTGTCAGTAACTTACTGGCAATTTTGGTTGACATATCTTATTTACAATAAGCTTGTAAATGTACAGTCTTACCAGCAACCAAAATTACCAGTAATTTACTGTAAATTGTAATTATTATTCACAGTGCCTTTGTAAATTTACAGTGTTACTCATAACCAAAATTGCCATCAAGTTTTAAAGATTGTAAATTCACTACACACACTAAATTAATAATTACAGTTGTGCTGTTTTTTTTTACATTGCAATTGTAATTATTAATTTACAGAACCCTTGTAACTTTACAGTGTTACTAGAAACCCAATAAGTTACTGTAAATTGTAATTAATAATTTACAGTGCACTTGTAAATTTATAGTCTTTCTAGCAA